AGCCATTAAGAAGAAGAGGCGTGTAGAAGAGAGAGACGTCGGTAGACGACCTCCAGAAGGTAAACCGAGGAACACAAAATCCTCCCTCACTTCCCACCTTCCTTCCTTCCTTTATTTGCTCCTTCCTCCCTCCTTCCTTCCTTTCTTCTCTTCCTTTCTTTAACTACCTGGTCCCCCTGTTCCTTCCTTCTTTCTTTTCTTTCCTTCATCATTTGGTCATTTTCTCTAACTCTCGCCCTTCTTCCTTTTCACTCTTTGACTTTCCTTTCCTCTCCTTCATGCTCTCATTTCAGCCTTCCTTCTGTCCTTCCTACATGTCATGTTTGTAAGTTATTTTTCTTTTGTTTTTGGCCGGTAGATAATGCATTTCTTGTTTTTAGTCCCCACAGCAACGCTCGAAAAGGAAACAGAAAAAAAAGAAAATTTCCAAAACTGGTTAGGAGATGCCACAAATAACATGACCATGAACGAGTAAAGAAGAGAAGCTGTTACAAAAAAATACCAAACAAATACTTTGTTGTCGTTGTTGTTTCCAGGTTGGAAACACGTCAGCACATGGAGAATTGTACTTCGGCCTAAATAAAATATATTTGTATAGGTGTGTGTGTGTGTGTGTGTGTATTTATATAAATTTATGAAGAGTAAGGTTGGGGAGAGGATTTTGAGCAACTGATTATGAAGGTCAATTATCAGCCGCGTTGCCAGCGTGGTTGGTTCAGTGGCCGAGTGGTTTAGACCACATGAAGGTCAATTATTAGCCGCGTTGTCAGCGTGGTTGGTTCAGTGGCCGAGTGGTTTAGGCATCCGACCGGTAATCTGGAGACCTAGGTTCGATTCCTGGCTGAATCACATTTTTCACTCATTTCTTTAGTTGTGCAATTTCTGTATATCTATATATCTATATATCTATTTATCTATATTCTATATATCTATAAATATATGTAGAAAGATATAAATATATATGTAAATATATATGTAAAACTGAACTGAACACATTTTCACTCATTTCTTTGTTGTTTCGATTTCTGTTCCGATCGTACACTACTATGTATATATATGTATATAAAAAGAAATAATAGCATCTGTATGTACATTTCCTTCTGTTTTTGGCTTTCTCGCCCTTGTGAATGTTATGAAGATAGGAAAAGTAAACAAATTAAAATACTTAAATCAAACAGAGTTATGCTCTTGCTCGCCCTTATTTTTCCGCTTTCGCGTTTTGCCTTATTCCACCTTTTTTGTTGTTGTTGTTATTTCGATTTGTTTGTTGCTCGTTATTTCCTTCCTAGTCATCCTTTGTGCCCAGAAATTTGCTACTAATAAAGAAGCTATTTCAAAGATTCCTGTGATTGTGACACGTCTAGATGATCTCTTTTCAGAAACAAGCGACAACCACTGAAAAACTGTTCTTATCTGTCTATTATTACGTCACCAGTATAGAGTGTCATTTGTCTCTCGAGTTCAACTTCAGGCGCCTCGCTTTTTTCTTGCGAACCAGCGCAAGGTACCATGGGCTTCGCTCCTTGCGTGCCCAATTCTTAGAAAGACCCCCGGCCTGGGTACAAAGCATTCCCGAGGGGAGGATTTTGAGCGAGCCCAAAAATACGTTATAGCCCTGATCTTTCTCTCATACTTTGTTTTGAGTGACGAATCCTCATGTGCTTGTCTTCTTTTCCGGAAATTCTGTAAAATGATTTCTCACTCGGCGGCACTGGACATTCCTGGAATTCAATTCGTAATTTTTTGGGTTCAATTGGAAAGCGCCCCTGGCCTGAAGACAAAACTTGTCTATGTTAGTCCACTGTCCTAAATATCTCATTTGTTGCTCCTATTTAAGAATGCAGAGGACAAAATCCAGGTACAGGCCTTTTCCGGTTTTATTCACAACCCTGACCTCTACTCGGTGTCAGTTTTTGTCGGAATGCAGGAGAGGGCAATTGAACCGGTGCCTTGTTTCAAAAATAAAAGTACCAAAAGTGATTCTAGCATTAAGCATTATTTCTAGGTACGGCCCATTTGACACAGACTCGAAGCCAGTCGCTATTTGCTAGTCAGATTGGATTGTTTCAAAGAGAAAGCGGTGTGGATCGAGTGAGGCGTGCCTCGATTTGTGGGAAGGGGCGGGAAAAATAGCTATTTTTACCTTCGACCCTTCCCAAGACACCCCACGCGCCTTAATTCACCCTAATATCCAATCTCCTCTCTCCCCAAAACACATGAATAGCGACTGGGTACCAGTCTACATTTGACATTCAGCTGAGGCAACCAGGTCTAAGAAATATCTTTACTACTCGTTATGCATCTTAACATGGCGTAGAACTAACTGAGGGATTTTGAGTCATCAAAGATTCATCAAGGCGTTTTCCAGCAACACAAACTGCACGTACGTTTCTCTCAGGCAATGCAGATGACAGTTCGATGCCTTGAAATGTAACTAACCTAACTAATTCCAAGCTTAAAAATACGGCAAAAGGTCAGATTACGATTTACCTCGACATCAGTCTCTATAAGTAAAACCAGTCCTCTTCTCTTCTGGGCCTGAACTTGGTTTATATACCGAACGCCTCATCCAGGACAAGAAGATGACATCTAAGCAAACGGCGTTAGGATGTAAAATATTCACAGTGGAGGAAAATGAATCATCGTACACTTTGCTTGTTAATATTAATAGAAAATGAGGGACAGAGAAGGAAG